CAGCCATTCCATATTTTTCAGTGTTTGTAAGAGAAAAAAACTTATCGCATTTCTTTTGGAAGATAGACAGACTTGTTAGGTACATTAGGAAGAGCACTATTGCTAGTGAAATTCGTCGATAAGGTTAGAAAATTGTTTTCCGATAGTTGATTATTTAAGATTTTTGGTTTCTTGGCTTACAGGAAGGACCAATTTGTCTCCGAAATTTCCAGTCCATGGATTCACGTATTGAATTTACCCATACTACCACTTACCTACCTCATAAAATTATAATACTAATAATACTAATACTAATAGTATAAAAATACACCTATAATAATACTAGTACTAATATATTAAAAACACCTAGTAATATAATATTACTCCCATAAAAGCATTAATCCTATTTTGAAAAAGTAGTGTTTCATCCTACAAGTAGGTGCTAATAACACCTACGATACAGAAGCTATACAAAAGCTGAGTTTAAAGACAATAGAACCCTCACAGATATTTTCAGTTACACTCTTTCCCCACAAAATAAGCAACTCTTTCTAGCTAATCCTACGGAATATACCAAACAAAAATTTATTTTGTAGAAGGTGCAAAAATAAGAAGCCACGTTTTCCTTGACGGCTATTCAGTAATTCTGTTGTCATACAAAATCAACGATGAGGAGAACAAAAACTACCAACAGTGAGACAGGCCATGCGATGTAATCTCAAAAATCAACAAATCTCCAACCAGATCTTACCGATCACGTAGCGCATACATACAACATAGTCGGCTGTCGTTGCAAGACAGGTAAAACAGGACTTTTTCTTTTTTTGTATACTGTGTGTTTGTATCATGCGGTTCTTGGATCGTTTAGATTTTCTCGACCCACATTTGTTAATGGGGATACAATGAAACTAGACTTCGCAAAAGGAAAAAAGGATGACTCACTCGCAGCTCCACTGCTTCTTCTTCTTCTCTCGTTCGCTTTGCGAGATAGTCTTTTTCAAGCCTAAACAATGGATAAGTGCTAAGGTTCAGAAGAACGTCCTACATGTTAAGGTGCAAATATTTTTTAAATAATGGGCCTGTTACAAATTAAAGTGAAGATGGCTCTATGCGTATGAGACAGTGTTTCGTATGTACTTCGTTTACGTATGAATTACGGATGTTATCTACAAATGTTTTATGGACACAAACAGGCTTACCCTCCCAGACAATATTCGCGAGGTCAGCCCATTGTTTATAGAAAAAGAAGATATTAGTACAAAGAGAATAAATCTGGTCTTAAAACTATTCATCATTAGAAAAATTTTGATTTGATTTCGACTGAAAATGAGATTTTACCAAGGTGTGTTCTAAGAACGTTTAGTAAAGAGTGGAATACGATGTTTCCTACAGTATGTCAAAATTCAATATTACGTCTAGTCAAGAACTTTTGACAGAACTTCATTGTATCTCAGCTCGCTCTTTTCTAAAGTACGTGATTAAGATGGCAAGTTAGTGATGAATAAGAACAGTAATTCTGTAGTTCGCTCCATAAAGGTTAAAAAAGCTTATAGAATGTTCAAAGGATTATATCGGCTAGCACCATTGACAATCAAGTTAAGAAGCTTGAGCTGCAAGGAGTTTTTCTGTTTGAACGAAAAATTATCGGGCTTTAGATTCACTACAACACTTTTTCAATGAAACGTAAAAAGGTGAGCTTTGTATTGCAGAATATTATTAATAAGTTCTTTGGAAATTCTTGAATGCTTTTGCTTTCTCTTCACGGTCAGCGCTGAATCCGCAGCTAGTCAAAAACGGAAGATGCATGAAGTAACAAGAGTTAACAAT